TTTTTTTTTTCCCTGAGAAATGTTATTTCATTGTTGCTTGGAATTTGCCAGACACTGAGAGAAAGAGATGTAGAAGGGAGAGCCAGACAAAAGAAAGCAACACTCACAGAGATACAAAAAGGCAGCAGAGGAGCCCTGGCTGTTTGAGCAGGTGGCAGAGGACACAGACAATGGGGAAGGAGTGCTGGAGATCTGTCTCCATCACCATTATTTCCTTCCCTGCCAGAATTAGCATTCAGGCTGGAGCCGCTGCGATACAATGAGCCTCTGCTCYGGGGGTCACCTGCCTTTGGAAAGAGCTGTCTGAGCCTGTTTGCAAATCGAACCAACCCCCTCTGACAGAGCTGTTTCACTCAGCAGAGCTGTTGGAGGAGGCACAGAACGCAGCACCTGCATTGCAGGCTTGGAGAAGGTCCAAGGGAGGGTGGGAGGACGTGCAGGGATGGTGTGTCCCTGAAGGGATGCTGTCCTGCCAGCAGATCTTTCTCCTGGTGCTGCAAGCCAGACTAGGCAATCCGTCCTGACTTGTTTTCCATCAGGAGCCTCAAGATTTACCCCCTCCCATCACACACGAGGCACCCAGCAGCTCAAATTTGCCTCTCACTGAAAAAGTTCCGCAAAATGCAGGATTTTTCTTACTTTCACACAGGATGCGATCAGGAAAAGAACTTCAGCTCTCGCTCTGCATTTCCTGTGTTGCCTTGTTGGCTAGTTTTAATTATGACACAGATACAGTTAAGGGGATAAAAGGGTTTTACCTCGGTGTTTAATGGGAGCACAACTCAACAGAATGGAAGAAAYGCCAGAAAATGCACACTGTGTGTGACACATATACAAGTTTTAKAGACTTCAAAAATTAGCATATMTATCTAGAATCCCCCAATSAGTGCATCAATGAAYGCAGCGATGTCCCCCTGTTGTAAAGAATCCCCCCAGCTGGGCCAGAGCCCAGGTYACACAATGTGCTCCAGAGAGAAGGTTCCAGAAAAGGCTGAACCCTCGAGTTTGGGACAGCCCGGGGCTCAGCGGCCCCTGCTGAGKGKGTTTGGTCTTTGTGCCCAGCAGGACCCCAAAATTAAATTGGAACATCAGRGAACAGAAATCACAGGYGTGWAGGGTGARGGTMCCAGGAATAYATAAAGGRTACAGAAAATGTAAAGGGGTACATAAARAGGAAAAGCAAAAATCATTGGGCATCACCTGCTCCCTCAAGATTCACACCAGGGACCAGAACTAGCTTAAACACCTTTTCTAAGTGGCTCCAGCTCCAGTTAAAGATGCTCTAAGGACACCCAGGTGGGACCAGTCTGTCTGTCAGTAATGTCACATCCTGCACTGATGGTCCCTGGCTGCTGAGCCCAGTCAGGAGCCAGATCTGCCTCTCTCCCTGTCTTTCCCGGAGATATTTCATTTGATAACAGCAATAAGTCACTGCAGGCAGCACCATTCGGGACAATTATTGTTCTTGTCAAGTGGTTTGAGATTCTCAGCTCTGGGCTTTGTCCTCTGTCACACCACCCAAGGCACACAATTATCACTCAGAGAGACCCCTCCTGCCATTCCTTATTGCACTTGTGATGGCTCTGCCAACAGCCTGGACACGGAGCGATGGGAGGGAAGGAAAAGCAGGGGAGCTAAGCAGACGTATAAATAAGTAAGTAAAAATGTCAGCAGGAATGGCTGAAATTGCTGGATGTATCAGGGCAGAGAGCAATCTTCCCAGTGGGAAACAGTGGGAGCCCCAGCATTTGCAATCAGCCAAAAATGATCAGGCGTGAGGAAGAGGGAGATGGTGAGGGATGACACACCTGAGCAGTGCCAGGGGTTGATCCCACACCCTGGCTCGGTCCCTGCCCACCCCTGGCCTTGGCACAGCCCAATTCCCAGCAGCCAAATCCCTGCTGGTRATTTTGTCTTGAATTTTTGCAGCTGAGAGTGCTGTGTGACTCAGGGATAGGASAGCGAGTCCAGTCCATTTGTCACATCATTGCACTTTAGCAAGAGATCTCGGTGGCATCTGACTCCGTGGTGTGGCTTACAGTGAAGGGAGTGCTAAAAAAAATCCAGTAAAAAGCAGAACTGAGAAAAAAATGAGGAGCTGTTCACAGAAAATCAGTGCTGGGTGTCCAAAACACAAGCACAGGGCTGTGAGATGTAGAATCAGGGAATGGTTTGGGTTGGAARGGATCTTAAAGATCATCTGGTTCCAAGWAAGTCACCCTTGTGCACCCACTTCTCAATTATTGTTATTTATCCACATTTAAATGAAAGAGAAATCCCAATAATCATGTGGACTCCTCTGTTGACCCAGACACAAAAATTCAGCCCCAGCTCTTGGAAGTAAAGAATCCAAGGAAACAAAATGATTGAGAGCAAAAAGTGTTCTGCCTTTTTATGGCTGGAAAGTTGATGCAAAGAAAGATTAAATGATTTTTGTGGATCATGCAAGGAGTTTGGTGGCAGAGCCAGGTACAGGAATCAATTCCCAGATTTGAGCTCTTGTCACAGGAGTGGTGTCATGGAAAACAGACAAAATTCTGCTAAAATTCTGCTAAAATTCTGTTAAAATTCTGCTAAAAATCTACTAAAATTCTGCTAAAAATCTACTAAAATTCTGCAATCAGACATGTTTGAGGTGCAAAGGGGAAATACCATGAAACCACTCTGGATTTATTTTCCTGAGTTCACTCAAGCCTAATTACCAAAGAGCAGGATGCTGCAAGTGGTCAGGCACGGATATGGATTTGCACAAACTGCAGGAGTATCTGGTACTACTGAAGAGCTTAAGAGGCAAAAAAAGGACATTTGGGAGTTCAAAACATTGCTCCTGTGAATCACAGCAGCTCCTTCTAGAAGCTTTTTGACATTTCCTGAGGAGAGCCAGTCTGTTTTCCAGGCAGCACAGACTTTCCTCCTCAGGTGGGTCCCCAAAATTGCCCGTAATTTTCTGCTTTGATTACATTATCGTGATTACAGTCCAGATTGGTGAGACTTAGGGGTCAGACTTAAAACTTCTGGGATGTTTTGCCTGTCCTGGAGGCAGTTGTGCAGGGAAAAAAGGAGAGAGCAGCCCTGATGGTATAAACATTTCCCAGGAGTGTCCGGGAAGCTCTGCTCTCCTGGATTTCGATGCTCCATCCCTTTTTTCCTCCCCCAAAACGCATTTCCACCTTATTGTCACAGCTGAACGAGTCCTTTTCAAAGACTCCTGTCGAGCTCAGTGGGCTTTGAAGAGGGTTCACAATGAGTGAGCAGCTCCTGTGGTCTGAGGAGGATGGAGCATTTCCTCTCTGCTCCATTTCGCTGCCGTGCAGCTTGCCAAGCGTCGGATGAGGTTGGGTATCAGCAGTGTGAGCATCCTCATTCCAGCTGGCCTCATCCTTGGAGCTCTTCCATGGGGTTTATCCCCTCAYATCCCTTTCCAGTTCTGGATCAAGTCTACTGAGTTAAAAAGTCTAATTTGTGTTTGCCCCTGGTGCTGCAGAGATAAGATTTGAAATCCCAACTGGGATCCTCCAGCCGCCTGTCCCTTGGCAGCCCTGCCCTGGCTCTGCCTCCAGCTAAATCCCAAAACACACACGAGGCTCTGGTGAGGCAGAACCCTTTCTAAGGCTCTTCTTCTGACTTCAGGATGACCAGTTATTCCATATACATCCCATTTTCCATTGCCAATCAGTGTTTTCAAAGTGCTGTGCAAAGCAGGGTTCCTGAAAGGCAGAAGTTTAATTATTCACCACTTTTYTGGTGCTCTCCTTCCCTCTCCCAGCTCCCAGCTGGGAACAGCCAGAGGTGTGAGTCCAAAGAGCTCTGCATCATCTTGAATTTGGCTGGCAGTGAGAACAAAAAATGTCACAAAAAAAAGCAAATCCTGAATGAGGGTGGAAGGTACAGCCCTTCTACAAAGGACTCGGCTCACCTGGGCTGCTCTTTACTTCCATGGAAACCACAAACACCCATAAATTCCCTACAACTGGATCATAATCACAGCRTTTTGCAGATTAATGGCTAATTTGGTTTGGTTTGTGCAAAGAGAAATTGCTGTGCAAGCAGCTCCCACTCTGCTGTAATGGACAGAAATCACCAGTGACCATTTACCCCGCAATTATCTGGTAATTAATGTGTTCAGGAAAACCTACCTGTAAAGCTCAGAGTTTTGGCATCTCTGTGGAAATCCACAACAGTGATGGGGAACTTTTAGTGGTCTCTAAGATGTGCCCAACCAAACCAGCTTGCTGATTTATATTTAATCTTGTAGTGGGGAAAATATTTTCTGTTCAAAGTGGGGCTTTGTCCTGCTGTAGAACCCAGTRCAGTGGGAGAATCCTGCTCTCAGAAGGGTAAAAACTTGTGTGCCCTGTGATCAGCAAGAGTAGCAGTCATAAAATATTCCTCCCCACCTTTCTTGTCCTTTCATCAACCATCTCCCCTCCCACCATGAGGCTTTTTGGGTGAAGTGTTGGGTGGAAGGCACTGACAGAGGTGGGCAGGACCTGATGGGCAGTGGGGTGAGCCCAGAGTGAGCTGGCTTGGGATAAATCAAAATCCAAGTGAAAAGGAGCATTCAGCACCGTGTGGAGAGGGCCTCCAGAGAGCAGCTTCCATTTCCTTCCTTAGGGTCACCTCTGTGTGCCTTGAGTGCCCCTGACAAGTGTTTGTTTAAACCTGTCCAACTCTCTCAGAAGTTTTTTTTTTGCAGCTTTTTAAGACATATCTGCTGGAAACTGGATACTCCTCGCTCCAGCTGAAGCCTTTCTGGTTGTGAGTAGGGAAAAGTGATTGCCTCCTGGGGTTTACATGTGTAACAAACTCTGTCTGCTCCATCCCCAAATGAGAATTGTTTGTTTTTTGGCAGCAATATGGCACRGTTGATTTACAGTCTGTTCATGAGCTCCAGTAGTCCCCAGGCCCTCTCCTGCAGCACTGCCCAGTTGCTYCAATTTCAGAGTTGTTTGCAGTGATTCCTCCCGCTGAAAAATTGTCCCCATTTGCCAGCATTGAATTTCATTTGGTTGATTTTGGCCCAGTCCAGCAATTTGTCGAGTTTATTCTGTATTCTTGACCCTGCTGCTGGAGGTTCTTAGACCCTCTTCCAGAAATCATGAAATCATCCAAGCCAGTAGTGAAAATATTGAGTAATGCCAGACTCAGGATAATATTCCTTTTGAAACATCCTTCCAGCCTGACAAAGAACTATCTGACTCTTTTTTTTTTTTTTTTAATATTTTTTGCATAAATCTTGTGGTGGCCTTTCTTAGGTCATATTTCCCTGGTTTGTTTATGGTATTCCTGTAGGATAGTAGCAAATGCTCTCCTGAAATCAAGATAAATCACATCTGCTGCTTCCCCTTTATCCACAAAGTCATTAAGCCTGTCAAAAAGGAAATTAGATTGGGTTGACACAATTTGTTCTTGACAAATCTATGCTGGCTGATTTTTATCACCTTATCATCTCGCAGGTGCTTATAAATTGATTGTTTRATAATTTGATGTACTTTCTTTCTGGGAAGACAACTTAGGCTGACAGGTTCTATAATTACACAGTTGCTTCCTTTCCCCCTTTTTCAAGGGGGTTCCCTGATTTTGAGGCCTCACTCAKCTTCCAAAAGTTCTTCAAAACATCCCTGGTGTAGATAACCTCACAAATACACTCAGCACCTATGGAACACACAGCAGAGGCACAGTTGGGTGGAAGACCCAGAATGTATTATTTACACCTGAAATAAGAATTTACCTGTAACTTACACCTTAAAAGTGCACTCAGATTGGCAAAACACTTTCCAAAGCTGTCCTTAACACCTGGAAGGTGGAAATCCAAGTTAAGGCCCRTCACATGCAAATGCACTTACWTCATGGAATATTTTTTYTMTGAGTGAYAGGGCAAGAGGGAATGGCTTTAAGTTRRAGAAAGGTTTAGRTSAGATATTARGAAGAAATTATTGGCTGTGAGGGCAGGGAGATCCTGGGACAGATTCCCAGAGAAGCTGTGGCTGTCYCTGAATCCCTGGAAGTGTYCAAGGCCAGGTTGGACRGGGYTTGGAGCACCCTGGGAYAGTGGAAAATGTCCTTTTCCATGGCAGGGGTGGCACTGGATGAKCTTTAAGGTCCCTTTTACCCCCAGCCTGTGACTTTGTGGTTCTAGGAATATTCCCCTAATGGCTCAATGGGCTGTTGAGAGGGGCAGGGTTTGGATCCACAGCTTTGGGACCATCCTTTGGCRTTCTGACAGCTCCATTTCTTTCATTCCCAACATTCAGCACCTCCTCCTGCCTCGTGCCATCCCCTCCCCACCTCCATGCACTCAGTAAGTCTGGGTTTGGTGTTTTATTTATTTATTTTTTGTTTTCCCTTTCCTCTCCCACTTCCAGTACTCGTACGAAGGGATGGAGATTAACAGCCTGCCAGTGGAGCTGACAGTCGTGTGGAACGGGAATTTCAACATTGACAACCCGGCACAGAACAAAGGTAAAGAGTTATTTCAACTTGTCCTTGGAAGCGGTAACCTTAGCAACGGGCCCTTACACTTAACAAAGCCGCCACCGTCTCCCTGTGCTGCCTGGTACACACTTGTTCTCTTCACTCTGCAAATTACCAATTTCTGAGTGCTTTTGTGTGCCTCCCCCCAGCCCTCCAGTGCTCTCGTTCCACCTGAGAAATGCTCCTCTCCCTCCCACTCGTGCCGCTCTGCCTCCCGCTTCTCCCCACATTTTTCCCGTCTGTTTTTTTCACGCCCCTCCTTCTCCAGCTTTTTCTGCCCCCTCTTTATTTCTCCTGCAGTGATGCTCTTCAAGTTAACATGCCAGGAGAGMGGGCTCTCTGCTCAGAGGCAATTTAGTAATGAACAGGGGAAGGGAGAGGGGGAGCAGAAAGGCTGCGGTGGGAGAATTCTGAGCAAAATACAATGATCATGAAAAAATAAAATATATCTGCAAACCACCTGTGTTTAACCACCACTGATGGCCCAGGTTTGATGTGACCCTCACAGGGGGATGCTGCACATCCAGCCATGACCCTGCTGTGTTCCTGGAGATGGATGATCCATTCACATCTTCTTCCTCGTTGTCCTTCCACCCTGGAATCTTTTCCCCAGGCAGCCCTTCCCCTCGGCTGCTCTGTGTTTGCAGCTCACACCTGCAGGTTCTCTYCTTCTCACATCACCACCTCTCAGAAATCTCTCCCTCCCTCTCTTTACCTTGTGTTGGACACTTCCCACACCTTCTCCCACTCCATCTGTCCCCATCAGGTACTCCCGTGCTCCTGTCACACCATTCCACACCCACCCTCACGCCRAGGGGTGGTGGGTTGTSGCTGTTGGCTAAACAGTGACACAAAATAACAAATATAAAAAA